AGAGCCTTTTGAAAGCATTTTTAACATGGTTTTACATGTAAAAAATGGTTTTAAAAGTAAAAAAAAAAAAGGCCATGCCCACCCAGTCACATTACCCCCACTAAGCCACACCCACAGAACTGGTAGTAACAAATTTTAGATTTCACCACTGAGTACATGGTATTGTTAGGTCTAAAAAATGAAAAAGAAAAAAAAGAAAGATTACAAAGAAACTGTACTTAGCATACTAACATGGTGATTTGCTTCAGATCAGTAAATTTAAAAAAATGTCCTTCTATATTATTATTTATGCAGTCCTAAAATGAAATGAAATGTTTTGCCAATTCTGAGAGCAAAGTTATCCTTAGGTTTATATCATGCCTTTACACAAAAGAAAAGGACATTTTTAAAGTTCCTGCTTTCTATTCTTCCCACAACAACAATCCTGTGAGGTGAGCTGGTGTCAGAGAGACTCTCTGGCACAAGAAACCAGGAGGCAGGATAAAGTTCAAAAGTACTGCAAGTTTATTCCCATGCAACCTATACAAGAATCTGATCTACTAATGGGCAAGCCAAATTGGCAGATAAGAGTCAATGGACTTCAAGGTACCTTTAGGGGATGTAGGGATTCTAGACTGATGATGCGTTTGACCCTGTCCTCAGGCCCATCTCCTACAGAGCCTGTCCCAGACAGGAGGATGGATCAAGCAGGGATCAGTCTGGAATTGCTATTTGCAAGAAGGCAAGATCCGCCCCCTCTTGAATGTTATAGAACCTTATATAGTTTTTCCCAGAGGCAAATTGCCAGCAAAAGATTGCAGTGAAATAGGCATTGAAAAATAAAGTAGCTAATTTATACGCTATACATGGGGGTCTGGTTATTTGTACCTGACGGTTGGGTTGGGAGAGAGTGACTGGACCAGAGTCACCCAGCTGGCTTTCATGCCTAAGGCACAACTAGAACTCACAGTCTTCTGATTTCTAGGCCAACACCTTCAACACTACACCAAACTGGCTGACTGTTAGTTCTCTCCCAATTACACTGGACTGGAATCATGCAGGCAAGGTGACCAAAAAAAATTCCAAAAGAACCTTGGATGAGTAATATTTATTTTTAAAAAATTTGGAAAGCCACCACTCTAAGAATTTCAGTTGTCCAACTTAATTATAGTAAGAATGTTGAAACCTTCTTGAGTTTCATTTTATCCCTGCGCTAAATAGCAGACGACGTGACCTCCTCTTTTGAGTAAGCTGACCTATTTCTATCTGGTTTTGCAATGGCCAGATTTGCTCTCACTTTCCCTGACAACATCAGAACTAATTTTCACAAAATCCACTTTCCACAATGCATGCATATTTACATACTCTGTAGAAATGCCATTCAGGTCATGTCAGTCATTTAAATTAATTTCAGATCATGCATATACTTAGTTTGAGTTCAGATGCTAACTCTGCAAAAATTTCAGAATATCTCCCACTGGGACCTGCTTTGTTGTTAATAAAGAGTGATAGCAGCTGAATAGTAAATGGGGGGGGGGAGGTTGGTACAGGAAAATAGAAGCTAAAACCTGCCATGATTTACCTGAAATTAGGAGAAAAAAATCTCCAATTGTTTCTCAAGGGCAGACTCCCCTTTAGCGCTAATAATAATCTCACTGCTAAACAGCCTACTTTGAATGAATTTCCTCCTAGGCCTTCTCTTGGAATTTAATGGAACTGTGGGAAGCCAAGGAGGCTGTAGATCACTAGGGAAAATAATGATCCTTCCAAATAGATAGATAGATAGATAGATAGATAGATAGATAGATAGATAGATA